ACCTCAAACAACTAAATGTTCAGGTTGTTAGGAAGTGAAAAAAGCCCAGTTTTTAAGGGTTCATTACCAACCTTAACTCTGGTCTCACATTCCTACAAATTTTACATTACAGTGTAGAAACTGCCAAGTACATCTCATGCCCTCCTTGCTATACAGATGAACTCCAACAGCTCCTCTTCATGCTCCCTCTTCCCGTACATATTTAGTATAAAAGTTTTCTAACAACCTTTCCATTATATTAGATGGAAAAAAAATCCTCAAAGTATGTGTTTCCTCAGATGAAAATGACCAATATAGCTTAAAATACAGTATCTCGAGCTGGCAGATGGAGATGCATTCTGGAATTTCCATTTAGCCCATCTGAAGCAGCAAAACTGAGTTGCCTTGTCTTCATTGCCATTTTCACCCCCGACAGCAAGCTTGAGCTAACCCACCCACAGTCAGAGACAACCTTTATTTGCAATATAAACAATACCAATGTCACAACAGAAAAAGGGCAGATCTATGGGATTTCATATGGGAAAAGACAACTACTTTTGCCAGTCACTGGTTCCTAATAACCGCCTGTCTTCTATTAGTGTCCTAAATGAGGAGGTGGGATATGTCTTGGAGGGGGTCTAATGACTGACCAGAGAAAAGGAGCTGAAGGTGGAGCCTGGTTACGTGTGCTCTCTGCTCAGCAGGGAGGCCCCTGTGTGCTAGAGAGAGAGAGGCTCCACTTTCATCTACATGAAGAGAAACCAGAAGTAAAGGTCCCTTTCAGGAGGAATAAGGAGTCTCCTAGAGAGAGCATTAAGCAACAGACTGGGAGGGAAAGGGCGTCAGATCATGGAGGGGGTCGATGCAATGACTCGCTCCTCAAACACAGAGTGAACAATGTTGTGCTCAATTTAAAAACAAGTGAGGAGTGGCAAAAGCAGCAAATAAAATTTAGTAAATTGCATATAAAGAGTAATTGTTGTTATTAAATCATTTAGGATGGATGTGTTTCAAATCTAGCTCACAGTTGAAACTGTTTTACTGCTATAGCTGTGGAGTTTTAACAAAATCGCAGAATCGGAACATATCTGCCAGGGATTTATTTTGAGGATTATAGGGTAGTTACATGAATGAACCTCAACAGACTCAACATGTTGTTGTGATCCAAAGTCTTTAGTGCTTTCCACTGCAGTTACTTGTGCAAGAACCGACACCACGTGTATCTGTGCGCGCATCCGCACACTGGTGAGACGGGGAAACTGCAGAGGCACGTGCAGGCTCACTGCCCAGCTCCACAGGCTGGCTGTCCACAGGCAGCTCCGACACGCCAGCGAGGCCATTTCTTAACGTTAGCATCACAGTATTTCTTTCCATTTCTCCCCAGAGATCTTGTTTCCTCTGATCCGCCTCCTGTCTGTATCAGACAGGAAAGACTATACTGCCAGGTGCTTGATCTCACTCCAAGCTTTGGGTGCTAATCCCACCACCTCTGTACTGCCCGTCTCTCCTCTTGGTGCATGTGTTTGCATATTTGTGTGTACGTACAGACATACACATCTGCTAGTGACAACTCTACAGTGCATGCTTTCCTTGACCTGCCCTGTCCAAGAAGGGAACAGGACTCTGGCCCACAGCTGGCTACATAGCCCAGCTACCAACATCAACTCCCACTCTTTTTTTCTTCAGAAACTATATATTGCATTTCTACTTTAAACATCTCTACAGTAACTGTCAATCTAGCAGTACAAAGACCCTAATTTCCAGGTGCTCCTGTTCTTTTCACTATGGGAGGACACTCTCCACTGGAATTTGGCTACTGAAGCACTGTGAAGCATGGAAAAACAAAATCAAATCAAATTCTAGCTTTTTACTTTTCCTACTTCCAGCAGATATCTGGAACGTTTTAAAAAAATTCATCCCAAGCATGAACAATGAGCACTTCTGAACAAACTGATTCTAAACCAGTGGAGATCAAACTTCTCACATAGCCTCAATGGTTTTTGGCAATACCTGTTAACACAGATATGGCTGTTAACTTCTCATCCATGGAGCATGGACCATGTGCTAACAACTCACTTGATGACCTCAACAATTTTCCTTGACTGCAGGGATAAGTCACACAGCAGAATGCTCTTGTTGGTCCATGGGAAGGACTGCATGCCTTTACACACACAAAAATTATGACCATTTCTGTTTCTTGAAAGATCTCTAATTCATCAGTAAGGTTTCAATGGAATAATGGCCACAAACTCTAGCAGCAATTACAGAAATGCATTTTGTTTTATTTATTTAAATACATACAAGCTCTTTTATGAACAGAAAGTGATGATACACTGGCAGAACAATGGAGAAAATGGAGAAAAGGATATTGAAAGCTTTGAGCACTACTTTCCTCTCTGCTGTCTCACTCTGTCTCTCTCAGCCATTTGCCCTCTCTGCCCGTAGTTCCACTGTGGAAGCCATATGGCTTCCAACTCTCTTCTAAGTAGCCACTGAGAATTGTCTATAGTGGAATACTGCCAAAGCCCTTCCTGATTTAATGACATGGGGAAGAGTGCTGTGCAGTGCTCACCCAGCACAGAGACTCACTGCGTCCTTGATTATGATCCTGGAGCCAGCAAGAGATGCTGGGAATTGAACCATCAGTGCCTCAAATACAGAAGTCGACATGTGCCAACCCCTGCTGCATTCAGCCTTTGTGCGTGGCATATTAATGAGTCTTGAACTTGAGGTCCAACCTTCAAGCTTGCACAGAAGGAATTATCCAAAGACAAAAAAAAAAAACCATCCTCTTTGTCCTGTTTCTCTCTAATTTTGCACATTGATATAAGTTTCTTTACTATTTTTTTTCAGTTCTTAATCACCACCTTTGTTTTTTTTAGGCCATCACACCGTTGCATACATGACCATAGTTTCCCTTAATTTAAAGATTTGAGAAAAGAGCTTGAAAAGATACTCAGATCAAATATATTGGGCCAAAAGGGTATATAAGGGGACAGCTGACTCAGTACTAACCCTCATTCATAAATACCTGCTAAATGCTAGAGTCAGGATATGGAACTAAATGGAGCTTTCTTCTGCCTGTTTTTATGTCCCATGGCACTAGATAGCAGGGACACGTGGTTATCAGTGAGGTAACAGTCTCAGACTAAATGGGAAATAGGAGGGTTCTCAGCCTGATGGCTGCATTCCCATACCAGCAAAACAAGCATTGCTGAAGACCCCCTCAGTGCCATTGAAGTCAGAAAGGGAGCCTAATACATGTGGAATTTGGTAATGTACTACAACCCACAGCTGCATAGCCCAATTTGGTATTGCTCAGTCTTATTTTACTTGAATTTCATAATTTAGAGGAAAGCCATGGCTGTCTTCTAGTCAGCTGGAACACTGGATTCAGGGAAATTTAGCAGTATCTCTTCTGGGCTTTACAAGTTCCTAGTCCATAGTGAAGGCTAGGCTCCTGTTTTCTGAGAAACAATTTTTTACCACATGCACATTTGGCAGCAGGCGCATGATACAGATGAAAGAGCCTCTACAGAAGGATGCTCTCTTTCTTTGGAAAAGGTTGCAACTCTGGAGGGAAATCTGACAACCTATGAAAGCTGTGTCCTGCTGCAAACCTGTCCAAAAGTCAGAGAAAGGGACAGCTTGTAGATGGTGAACAGAGCCAATGTAAAATGTAACTCTCCAGGACAGCATGTTTCTCTGGTGCTAAGAGGGAAGGACAGCACATCACTGACCCCAAACCCACAGTCTATAGCCTTCCTAGGCAAAGATAAAAGACTTAACAAGTCTGTGAAAAAAATCCCATACTGAATTTTATTTCTGTCAAGAAATGAAGCAAAATAAGTTACTGTGTTCATGAAATATCACCTTTGAAACACTTCAGAAATTTAACTAATCAAAGGCCAGAACAATCCCGATGAAAACCTACTGACAGCTCAGGAAGCTGTGGAAGAAAGGTCACAAGATTTACCCAACTACAAAGGCTATACTGGACATGCATTATTTGAGGCACGTTGCCTAAGGCATTAAAGCCCAATTTGTTCCATGTCCCAAGTCTGCAAATTCAGATCTTCCTTCTCTTAAGTCAAAGGTAGAGTTTTTCATATACACACACTTGACCTATTTGACACCCCAGCTCACTCACTAACAGTCATGATGCTAGAGCAGGTAAAACATACGGTGGCTGTTGGTCCCATACGGTGACTCCAGTTAATGCATGCTACTGCTCAAGTGTTCCTGTGGCCAAGAGCAACCCTTTTCCAAATACCCCACCTCTTTCTCCAGTATATCACAAAACTCACTGCAAATTCTCACCAGAGAAAATATAGTATGGCAATGTTGCACAAATAGACACAAGTGCAGACCCATACAGTGTTTTCACACTACAAGACAGAAGATCTAGAACCTTACGTGAACTATTCTGTTTCTTCCTCAGCTTTTAGTGGCAGAAATCAACAAAAACAACTCCCACTAATTTTGATGGGAACAAACATCAAATCACTTCACTACGCATAGCTCTAATTATTTCACCAATCCTGAAATAAAACAATTCATAGTAATTATTATCCTAAAACAACATATGTCACAGCAACAGTGGACACACATTCCCTGATGAACCAAATAATGTTGTTTTATCAATGGTGAAGTTCTCCTAATTATAACGGCAAGAACTACAGTGATACCAAAACCAAGAAGCATCATATGAACCAGATGCTCAGGTTCCAATACCAACCAAAAATGCATTCTTTGTTAAGTCTTTTAGAACACAGAGTAAGATTTGCTTTTAAGAAATGCAAGAGCTGTTTGAGTTAGCCGTGACTCAGAAAGTCACAGAAGTCTCACAAACCTACAACAAAAGTTGCTGAGCGGGCTTTATCAGTCGTGCCTCCACTTCAGCTGATCTGGGTTGGGTACCAAAGTGAGACCATTACATTTGGAGAGTCTTGAATTTGCAAACAAAACCAAGAAGTAACCAGCTTTAGCATATTTAATAAAACAATAAACTTTGTGCTGACCTTTGGCAAGCGTTCGGGGTCACCAGGGTGCCGGGGGATAACCTTCTGTAACCTTTGGAAACCATAGTCAATGGTGGGTTCGTTCAGAGCTGAAAGAACAAACAACATCATGATGTGACAAATGCACGGTAAGAAGTCTCCGTTACACTGTAACTATTGGCAATGAATTGCAAGATCAAGGAAGGATCACAGCAAAATCTCCTTTTACAGAAATCAGCACTACAAAATTTTGGTTCAAATGCTATTTGAGGATGGTTCTAAGGCTTTGGTTCAAACAGCAACACAAAAATTCCCGCTTGAGTTCCTCAAACAAGGCTCTTGGAAAATTTGGAGATGTTGCATTCATCTTCAAAACAGGAAGCAATTATCTCTGAAAGCCATGATGAAATTAATTTGAAGAAATGCTTTGCACCCCATGCTTCGTGTTGTTTTTTTTACCCTGCTTTCATATTATAAGGAAAGTCCTTTGTGATTGGAAGACAAAACGAGTAACTATTAGAGAGTTGCTCTTGTTCCAGATTCTATTATACATTTAATATGCTCCATGTGCAATGGTCACATATAATTTTGTTGTGAGCTACAGGCATTTGTCTTGGCAGAGGCTGTATTTTGTGCTCATCAACACCGACTTCAGCAGCACAGCTCAGGCTCTGATCAGCACTAAACTGATCCAAGAAACTTAAAGAATTAAAAAAAAAAACCAAAACTGTCCATGTTTTTAGTTCATCTCTCCCCAGTCCTTGTTCAATAAAATGGAGGAGAGAAATGGTGGAATTCTTTAGTCTTAATGAAAGTGCTGGTGTGCCTGCATTAATCGAAGCTCTGATTGTGCCAAGCCTTTAAGCACATGCTTATCTGTAAGCACATACTTAAACCCATTTGCTTTCAGCAAAGCAAATTTGAGCATATTATGTTTTTTATATGATTGCCTATAATTACAGGGGACTGCACTGAATGACCTTCTAGCTATATTTCCAGTCATATGATCACTTTAAAACTCAGATGTGAGTGAGACTTCAACATGTGCTTAAAATTTCCTAAGTGCTTTGCTCAACTGGAACAACAGTCAAGCATTCTTGAGCATCTCTAAACAACAGCACATCTTGACTCTCCCATGCCAACAGAGATGATGAAATTTTCCAGAGCAATTTGTTTGCAATTTTTTGAGTTAAAAAAAAAAAAAAAGAGAGAGAGAAAAGAAAATATCCTTTTCCAATGTGGATTTTTATATTTTCAGTCTCTTTTTTTTTTTTTTTTTTTGAGGGAAGGAAGGTGTGTTTTGCTTGGTTGGGTTTTGTTCTTTCTTTTTTTGGTCACTTTAAAGTTGTTCTTATTTTGTCCTAGCTTATTAATAGCAAAAAAAAAAAAAAAAAAAAAAAAAAAAAAAAAAAAAATATTTCTTGCACAAGATCTGCCTACTAAATTATTAATATATCTTGCACTTTGATGATAGTTTTATTTTAACTTTATTATGTGGCTAGAATTATGCCTTCCGACTCTTGCAAAGAGATTTAGCATCAAACTGTATCTCCTGGTATCACTTGTGTAAGTACTTCCATGTGGCTCGATGCTTATCCCACAGCAAGTTACACATCTCCATCAGTCTGATCAACATGGTACAATTTGTCTCTTCTACTTAAGTGAAGAGACTATTTTTTCACACTCCTAACATTAAATATCTTTAGCCAGACCACACTGTTATCTTGAAAGTAATATCTAGTCCCTGGCTTAATTTAATTAATTGGTGTTCCATAACACTCCCACAAAAAAAAAAAATGTTCAGTTTTTAAAGAAAATGTTCCATTTATACTACTCATTTCAAACCACATTTCTACAGCAGATGGTCCAACTGGCAACAGAAAGGTCAGATTTTTATAACCTCCTGGACCATCAGTATGACCTAACCTCTTAAGCAGGCCCAGTGATGCTACTGCAAATTGAAGCAGAAGGAAGGTGGTGTGGGGGACTCCAGATCTATCCAAAAGCAGTAAAACAGAAGTGTGTGGCTGATGGGTGCAGGCTGGAGAGGCACATAGTACAGCACTCTCAACACTTCCTTAATATCAGAAAGGAGTCTTCTGAGCATATCCTGGAGTTACTGCTACAGTATTATGGTAACACCAGACTAGAAATCTTTCAGGATTTTACTTTTTGGGCTTTTCAAAGGTTTTTTTTGTTATTGCCCCAGAGATCATGACAGCCCTCTAGTCTCATGTTTTTATTTTTCCTGCATTTCCCTTTATCAAGAGTATCTCAATCAGATATTTCATTTACATTCAGGTCATTGAACAGAAAGAATGAGAATGGGTCTTTTCCCCTGCTCTTTTTGAGTTTTGGATGGTTGGGTCTTTTTTCCACTTTTTCTTTACCCTGGACACATGCTGCCCACTCTGTTGTGTAGTGTTGCAAAAATATCACAGTACCTGGGTTGTAGACCCCAGACTTCATTACTTCTGTGTTTCCTTACATGGCTTCTTATTCATAGAATCACAGAATGCTTTAGGTTGGAAGGGACCTCTAAAAGTCATCTAGTCCAAGCCCTTAGCAGTAAGCAGAGACTTTCTTCAAATGTTACAATAAATTAATTTCCTGCTATTTATATTTATTATCAAAAATAGCTGTTCTCAGAGAAAATTTTAAAAAGCCTGCAGTTCTAATTTACATTTCTTTTGCAAATATGTTAGAAGATTTTAGTGTGGTTCTGCCAAATGTGTTTCTTCTCTAATTCAGTCTAGTTTATGGCCATTTTCCCTTTACATCCTTTGGGAAAGTAGTTACTAAATTCTGCAATATTATAAATGGAGGCCAGTTCTGAAATCCCCCAAGAGATAGCAGTCATTTTCTCATATCTTCCCACACATTCAACACATTTGAAATCCACAGAGTATTTCTTGTGAGTATTTTCTGAACTAAATGACCAAAAAAAATGTTAATTTTATGGTCCAATCTCACAAGGCATCAAGCATCCTCTGAGAGATACTGAAAACTTTCTGCTTCAAATAGCTTCAGCTTTACTTTAGTGGTGGGGAAAGGCTGCACGCGGCAATTTGCAGGATTGGGTCCTAAACCGCAAATATCACTCATTAGTCTACAACCATTCAACCCTTTCAATCTCAGATAAAATGAAAAGAAACCTTTAGTTGCCTGCACATCTAACCACTGATTGGGCGATATCAGCCCTCCATTCCTCAGCTCATTTATAATCCAAGTTAGATGTAATTAGTCATATCTCAAAGCAAGAGCCCTGTTTAAATATTTAACCCCATCTTTAGGACACACAGGTTCCTGTGTCAGTGACTGGCAAGACTCCACAGAAAAGGTGATATTCTGATGTCCAAGCATTGCACTCTCTCCTCAGCCAGTGCTCAGGCCACCATTCGTAGCAGCTAACGTACAAGATCAGACCTCAGCTTCATGCAAGGCTTTGCCTCTGTCCCCAGCACGTGTGAGCCTGCTCTCTGCCTTTGAAGTCCATTCACAATCACGCATTTCCCAGTGCTCTAATTCAAAGAACGTGTTGGGTTTTTTTTTCCCATGATTGGAAAAAAAAAAAAAGAATCAATAAGAAATATAGACTCTGTATTTGTGCTCTTGACATCCATACATTAAAAACAAGTTAACACATACTGTACTTAAAATGTATTCCCATTACCCTAAATTTTAAAAGTACTATCAAAAGTACTACTAACTTTAAAAAACTGTGCTAAATTCAAATAGGTCCCAAGGCTAATGGAAGCAATTTGTATACCAACCCAAACTGACTGGCCCACTTTTCAAAATACAGGTATGATAATCTTGTGGTTTTAAAAGGACATTTAAATTGAAAGACTGTGAATTTAGTACATAATTATGCCAATAGAACCCTTTAACTTGTCAACTTGTAAATCTAAAAGGCTATCAATCATTTCTAAAGAGGAAATAAACCTTAAAATTCTTTGATTGACAGTGCTTACTTTTTACGTGGAAAAAAAAAAGGAGTAAAGTGGCCAGAAATCCATTTACAAAAGTACATTGTTTTACATAGGTGAGTAAAAAGCCAATAATTACACCTCCAAAAGACATATAAATCAGAGTAAGTACTTTTCCCTCACTTACATATTTTAAGTTGCAGTAAACTTCAGGTAACTTTTTATTAAAATACTCTTCCAAATGCAAGGCTTATTGAAGCCATTAATAGAGTAGCATTTTCATTTAAGCTAATATAATCATTTTTGCAAATACAAGATTTAAGCCATTTTTCTCCTTCCAAACAATAAACTTTCAGCCTGTCTCTTGTGTGAATTAACTAAAATTACACCCAGGTGTACAAAATCTATCCTAGTGTATGAGTTAAGGCACAATATTTATTATTCTTACCATTTTATGAATTACTTCTTAAACCCTTGAGGAAGAACTTTCTTTCAAATTAGACTCTAACAGAATAAGCCATGAAGCTCTTTATGCAGCAAGTCTAAAGCCGTAACTCATAAAATCTAAGGCTTTTAATCAAGAAAATGCACAATGTCTATGGAAATAAGGATGCGTATATTATATTCATCTTTTCAAAGTCCAACTTATTTTTCAACAGAAATGCTGCTTATGCCTCTGAGAAAAATGTTTCCACCATAACTATAATTTCAAATTCTGCAAGAATAATTTTAATAACTACATGTAGATAATCCACCATCTTTAAAAGTCTCTTTCTGTTTTTTTTTTTAACTAGTCAGTGGAGGGCTCTTTTTAATATTTCACATAATGAATTCCTACTGTGTCAATAAAGCTTTGGTCTTTGAATGACTGTCTGATGTATCTGAGGGAGGAATTTGTTTCTCTGGCCATGCTGCCAACTTACAACAGAATGATCGACACTTAATATCAGCAATTAAAAGGACCTGTTCAAATATCACATGGAATTTGTAGCTTGGGGTAGTGTAGGAGAACTCTTCACCAAGTACAACTCATTCAGTGAATGCAGACAGTAATTGAATTAGACACATTTTAACATTATTATTCAAAGAAAAATAAACACACACTACATAGAAGCATTATGGAAATATTTCAGAATGTAAAACATATCCAGTTAATTTGTTTCCCATGCATTCATGGTTTC